GCCCGAATATCATTTTTTGACAAGAGAATAGCAGTGTCACTGGTGCGCTGCAAGCAATCAAAATGGTGTTTACATACAAATATTTTAAAATCAGCACAGTTAAATAATCAATATGTAAAAGCCCTTTGTTGTCCAAGCTTATTAGTTTAAGATGGCAGGATGTTGGCCTTAACTTGTTCTTTATTTGTGCTTGTGGACCAAGATGAAGTTCAGGTCCATAAACTTACATAAACTTGGCCAATGCCCTGGAATTTTGACCCAATACTTGACCAGTAACTGATATGAAACACAGTCTTTTCCATTTTTACTATTGTCAACAATGATCATTTTATGGCGATCATACAATGATTTTGACTTATGGATGGGAATTACATTTGGAGCTACAAAAAATTCTTCAAGCAGAAAATCAGTACACCAATTTGACATACCCTCTTCTTTTGCTTGCCATAGAAGTATAGCTACACTGCAGTTGTGATTAAGATAACTTATTTCCTGCTAACTACGAAATAAGACTTTGGTGGAAGGGTGAGAGGTGTGGTTATCTGGGATCACCTGGGATCATCTTGGTGGTCTTTCTTATCTTCTTACCATATAAAATTTTAGGTCATGTGATTTTAGCTACTTGCCCATAAGATTAAAATCTGGATTAAAATTTTTAGGAACCATGAAATTCTTTGGGGGGGAACCTTTTAACTTTTCATAAAGTTATAAAAAGTTATTATACTCTGAAAATAATTTACCCTGAGGTTATAAGGTCAAACTTACCCCACTTCTTCCAAGCTGAGTGAGATTAAGAAGAGTTTGCCATGCAGCATCTGGTAATTTTGCTTGCAATTTAAAATAGAGCAAGACCCAGTCAGGCACACGCATACTCTTCAGCAGCTCTTGATAGGTGGTTGGTAAGAGGAGATCTGTTACTCCTTTCTTCACTCCATGAGAATCCATGACTAAACTGACCACTTCTGATATGGTTTCTGAGACCTTTGCCTTCTCTGCATCAGTGCCATACAAAAAACTATTGCCTAATATACAGGCAAGGGTCTCGTGATACTTTTCCAACACACCATCTAACTCAGACTTCACTTTCCTGCATTCACTGGCAACTTTTCTCTTCTTTAAAGTGGAACCTAGAGTTGGATTGTTTAATGTTTCTTCAATAACACTGCTGTTGGTGGTATTGGTACTGCAGGGGCTGCTGGTGCTGCAGGGGCTGCCGGTGCTGCAGGGGCTACTGGTGCTAAATGGGCTGCTGATACTCCAGGGGCTACTGATGCTGCTTGGGCTGCTGGTGCTGCTGGTGCTGCAAGGGCTACTGGTGCTGTAGGGGCCACTGATGCTGTAAGGGCCACTGGCGCTGCATGGGCTGCTGAAACTGCTGATGTCTCTGCTGTCCCTGTGGCACTCATTATTTAAAGAAGAAGAAGGAGACAAGGCTGCTAATGGAGGGTAGCAAGGCATACATGAATTTAAATAATTATTACTTCTTTAAAGTTTCCGAATCTCGTGATCAAGCTCCGCTATTTTAGACTGACATTTTGACATTTTGGCATGTACCAGTGCTTTTTGGGGTCTAGATTGGATCCCTCGACTCTACCAAGTTTAACCGATCAATCGAAGACTTCGTTCTCCATGATGAGATCGCGCCAAATGATTCCGATCCAAGATTCATTGTGTTTTCTAAATTGAAACTCGCGCCTAAATGAAATATTAATTATTAAGTGAACCTTTAACTTTTATAAAACCCAACCACAATAGTCGGAAGATTCCTTGCCAAGCTGTGCGTGGCGCACAAGTAAACAATACATGACGTTACGCAATGTACATGCAAACGAAGCAAGTGATCTGGGTTCTGAACTTTGAAATTTATTTACAGTAATACTTCTTATTTATAACGAGACTGAGTCACAAGATACCCAGAAATGCAAGAGTATTTGCCACGAATCTTAAATACAGTTAAAGAGGCTACATGACAAGTATGATTTCAGACCAAATTGCACTCCACTCAGTTCAATTACCATTATAAAATTATATATATATAGTAATAGACCATTTTATATTTTCAGAAATAATTTGCCTTAAGGTTTTCTTACAGTCCTACATGCTGCTAAATATCATCGAAAATACAAAGGGAAAATGTCAATTTAGTGAATTAAAATCATGTTATCCTATGACTACCTGAAGATGACTTGATTGTAGTTTTTCAGGCAATGGTTGACCATGCCATTGATACTTCTAATCAAACACAAATATCATGAAAATAGAGACTGTTCCTTTCTAAAAATTCCACTCATACTCAGTATGCAGATTATTTCAAGTCAAATTCATCTAAAACTGGTTTGATTCGAATTGAAATAAATTTACAACCAAAGAAATACAAATCAGACTAGTTTAAAATTTATTAACTTGAAATTCATTTAATACATAACAATGTTAATGATTTCAAGCTTACCTCAGACACATAAGCTGCCCCTCTGGCTGGTAGTGTTTTCTGAGTAATCCGAGATCCTACAAGCCGGATGAACAAGACTGCAAAGCATGAGATATACCTATGGAGTGACTCCACAACGGTATAAGCCTAACATGGAATGTAGAGAGGTTTTCCATAAATAAAAAAGTAAATGAAATGAGCTAAATTTACCTCAAATGTACAAAGTACCTCTAACCTGTAGCATTTTCTAAGCCACCTAAGATCCTACCAGCTAGAAGTACACGAACAAGGAACAAGAAGATATTCATGAAAAATTTGATTCTCATGTAGTGTTAGACGAAATGGAATGCCAAAAATTAAAATTCAAAGCAAACTGTAATAAAAATTGGGCGAACTTGATTAAATATGAAAGCTGCACCTCTAGTATTTTCTATGCCTTCTATGATCCGACCAGCTTGAAATATCAATTAAAAAATGTAAATGTATTCATGAAAAAAGTGATTCCAAGAAGTGTAAGACTAAGTTGGAGTGCGGAAAAGTCAAATGTGGAGCAAACCATATTAAAATTTGGGAAAAGTCGACTAAAATATGCAAGCTGTACATCTAGCCGGTAGCATTTTCTATGCCCTTTAATAAGATTCTACCAGCAAGAGGTACAAGACCAAATAAAAATAGTAAAAAAAAATGGATACGAATTCATGAAAAAAGTGATTCAAGGGAGTGGAAGACTAATTGGGAGTGCAGAAAAAGTTAAAATGTGAAGCAAACCGTAGTAACAATTGGACAAAGTCGACTAAATATGCAAGCTGTACCTCTAGACGGTGGTATTTTCTAAGTCCCTTGAGATCCTACTAGCGAGAGGTACAAGGTAATACGAATTTCATCTTGGGATCTTTCTAACCACGAGCACTTTGTAAAGGGTATTATAGTGGCGATATTATTTACAAGTTTTACGGCTACAGTGTTAAGCTAAACTGACTCTGCTGATCAAGAAACTAAAGATTGACGAGGGTGAAGGAAACAGCCATACGAAATTTAGCGAAATTTCCTTGATCTAAACTCAACAATGTATTTTTCACATGTAAAGCATGTAATAATGTTGATGTCTGGTTCAATCACGTCGCTTGTTGGTAACTCTGGAATAGTCCGCCATATTGGAATAGCCGACAATTTTCGATAATCACCCGACTCGAAAACTCGTCACTAGTGCTCCTCGGTCGTACCGCATCAGGGGATTAGTCCCCGAAACAAAACAATTACAGACAGTATTAATCATTAGCAAAAGAGCGAATAATAACCATAAAGAACAGATGATTCTTAGAATAGATAACAAAACACGGACGCACAAGGCGTCATTGTTTTTTTGTCTCGGTGACTACGAAGAAAGCCTTCTGCTCCCTCGCCTTCGATGGACGTTGAAACGTTTCTCCACAATCTCCGTCCTCGTGTATGTTGTGCTCTTTGTAAAAACATATTCACGGACCCAAAACAGCTCCCGTGTCTCTATGATTTCTGTCTACAATGCTTGGAACGTCGGCACGAAACAAGTCATGGTCGAGACACAATCAAATGTCCGGATTGCTACGCTCCTAGCACAGTGCCCGATAGTGGCGATTTGAAAGATCTACTGACCAGTTATTATCTGAACGGCTTGATTGATACCCTGTCGTCTGTTTCCTTCATTTTAAGGCGATTCCTCAGGAAAAAAAGTTAACGAACACGTGATCTTTTTAAACTTTCCTCAAATGTACCTCACCAATGTATGTTTCGAAAATTACAATAAAAAAGATAGGTCACCCTGCTTGTTTAAGAGACATGACGGACCGTTCTTGTACTAGTCAAACGCATCATTTCATCTGTTCTCGATCTCGGTACATTTTGCGGTAGCTGGAAGCAAGGGTTTTTTAGAGTAACACTGGAAAATAACTTGATTGATTGGAAGTCTCGATCGTATGAAACAATTTAATGTCATAATTTGCATTCCTCGAGTAATGGGCTTCGTACACGCTTTTAGCCATATCAATTTTTTTCTATGATTTGTTCACAAATTTATACGATAAAAAATCACGCAATTTTAAATTACGCAAGGGTTTTCAGAGGAACACTTGAAAATAACTTGATTGACTGAGAGTCTCGATCATATGAAACAATGTATAATTTGTGGAAAAATCACGCAGTTTTAGACGCCATAAATACAGAAAGTTTCTCGGCTCGCTGCTTTTAAGGTAAAAATTTGCAATCGTTTAGTAATAGGCTTCGTACACGCTTCTAGCTATATCTATTTTTATCTATGATTTGTTTACCAAATTTATGCAATAAAAAATATAGTTCACCGTGCTCGCACAAGAGCTAAACACTATCCTGCCTGGTTCATTGATTAAAGTCTTAAATTTTTAGATAATTCTCAGTTTCATTCGGCAGGGATGCTTATATTAGGGTCATGAAGATCAGCATCTGAGACAATTTTATTGACGCACAGACTTATAGATTAGTTTACCGCTGATTCCAAGAATTGCTATAAAAAGGAACTCGTGGGCTTCATGGTTTCAAATTTACTGATTCCTCGAAAACACTACTTTGCACACTCGCGTTTAAAAACGACATGGATATCAAAACGTTGCTTTATAACCTTCGTGAAGAAGTTTCTTGTTCTGTGTGTACCAACATTTTCACAGATCCGAAACAGCTCCAATGTTTACACAGTTTCTGTGCGCAATGCTTGAAGCAGTGGCACAGAACAAGCCATGGCCGAGACACAATCAGATGTCCGAAATGCCAAGCTCTTAGCAAAGTGCCGGAAAGTGGCGATCTGAAAGATTTACCAACCAGTTTTTACCTGAACGGCCTGATTGATGTGTTAGCCATAAAAGAATGTAAAAGCAGTCAAGTACAGTGTGGAAATTGCGACAAGAAAAGCTCTGAGACATCTTATTGTTTCCAGTGTTGCATATTTTATTGCCAAGAATGCGTCATTGGACACAACATCATGCGAAGTAACAAAGATCACCGTGTTCTGGCGCTCAAGGATTTTCAGGAGAAGGACTTTGAGTGTGTGATAAAACGACCGTCCTTTTGCTCAAAACAGCGACACGCGAAAGAAGAGCTGAAATATTTTTGTAAAAATTGCGACGCTGCGGTTTGCCAAACTTGTGTTTTGATGGACCACGCAGGTCATGCCTTGGAACACTTAGAAGAAGAAGCTGAGAGGCAAAAGATTGAAATCAAATCATTGACTGAAGATCAGAAACGCAATTTACAAGCAAAGATGAACAATGTTGGTCAGCTCGAAAAGGAGTACGCTCAACTGATTGAACAAGGCGAAGACGCGAAAAGAAATGTTCATAGATTTGTCGACGACGTGATCGCGGTCATTCAAGCCAAGAGGGAAAATATTATTGCAAAGGTTGAAAGCCAAACAAAAACATCCCTTCAAGCTCTAACAGCTGAGAAAACGGAGACTGAGAGTCAAATAAAGAGCATTGAATCAACGCTGGAAAAAACCAACGAGCTTTTGACGCGACGTACAGACGCTGAAGTCGTTCAACTAAAGAAATCATTGTGCGCAATCATTGCGACTCAAAATGAAAGCCAACCGATTAAGCGTGACCCGAATAACTTTCCTGCTCCGGTTTTCATGGAAAATCAAAAGATGCTAGATACAGTCAACTCCGAAGAAATTGGAAGTGTACTACATGCATGCAACAAAACGGAAGCAGGAATGTCTGTTACGGAGGGCAAAGAACTGAGAGAAGCTTTTGTAGGACGCGAGGTGCAGTTTGTTTTGGTCACGAAAAACGCTCAAGGAGAGCGATGTTATTTTAAACATGACAATGTAACAGTAGAGATCACTGACGAAAAACATCGAAAATGTGACACAGAGGTGCGAATAAACAACAATGGAGACGGAAATTATCGCATCAGCTACTTTCCAAGAGATTTAGGCAGATTCATAGTGAGAGTCAAGGTAAATGGAGAACAAACTCTAGGAAATCCTCTGATTGTGCAGGTAAAACAGTTTAAGTCTGTTATCGTTTCAACTTTTGGAACTTTCGGCTCGTGCGTTGGGAAGTTTAATAAGCCTTGTGGTTTGGCAGTAAATGCCAGTGATGAGATAGCTGTAACCGAATCTTATAACCACCGAGTTCAAATCTTTAACACTGATGGACATAATTTAAGATCCTTCGGTCGAAAAGGTCACGGGATGGGAGAATTTAGTAAGCCGAAGGGAATTGTATTTCACCAAAATGGGAATATTTTTGTGGCAGACCAAGATAACCATAGAGTCCAGGTTTTCAGTGGGGAGGGTGTTTTCCTAAGAAAATTTGGAGGAAAAGGAAGCCATAATACTCAGCTCAGTTTTCTTCGCGGTTTATCTGTGGATAGTGATGGAAATATTCTTGTTGTTGATAAAGGTAACAAGGAAATCAAAATATTTTCCCCTGACGGAAAGTTTTTAAGAAAGTTTGGTGGGCAAGGCTCTTTAAATTTTCCTGTCCACTGCGTTCAATGTGATAGATATCTCATAGTGTCAGACAGGGGTGACCAATGTATTAAAGTGTTTGACAGGAATGGAACCTTTCAGTACAAGTTTGGAAAGCAAGGTAGAGGGGACGGAGAATTTGAAAATCCCAACGGTTTGTCGGTAAACAAGTCAGGACACTTGATGGTCTGCGATACAAGTAATCACAGAGTACAGATATTTGAGCTGAGTGGAAAGTTTGTTGCTAAGTTTGGAACAAAAGGTAGAGATCCTGGCGAATTTGATTTCCCTCGATCGATTTCAGTGCTAAGTGATGGCCGCATTATTGTGTGTGAGTTGGGAAACCATCGCATTCAGTTGCTCACGTTCGAATACAAAACTCCAGCTGCCTCAGGTGTAGATAATTCGATCTGATTTGCGGTGCCGAAAGAATGAAAGAGCTCATGGCTAGAAATCGAGGTTAGTCAGCGGCTGATGTCGCGGACGCAACACGAGCTGCGTTTCACCTTACTGCGTCTGTGCATCCCACTAAAATCAAACATCTTTTTTGAGTTGAGTTCCTCTTTCCTCCTTGTCCCTTTGGCCTTTGCATAATCACTTTGTACTTTTCCACAAATTTTTCTTAAAGATTCATTAACTTCTAGTCTAATTTTTTCATCACTGCTAATTGCAAATGCATTTCCCGGAACAGAGTAATCAAACAGATCAACATAAGTATAAGATAATTTCATGTTTGACTCATGCATGTGCAAATTTGATGGGGTTGAACAAGATGGTTCTCCATTGCCATAGCAATAGCATAGCATTGCAATTTTTTTGGACTTTTGGAAGTCGTTTGGCAGCGTGGATTCACACTTGTATGACTTTAAATAGCCTTCAATTAGAAGGTCGGCTTTCGAAGAGATCGAACAGACGTGGGCAATTGATAAAACAACCCTTGTTGTGGCTGCAGGAGAAGCTTTAGCTGACCAACATAAGCCATTTTAAGACACTTAGGGCACCAAAAAGGTTTAAAGTTTCTTCGACTGGGGCAGATCGTAGCGAAATCGTAAGAGTTTGAGAACGGAGGTGAGTGATCTGGACACTCTTCTAATACATTTCAGACGAGGGCATTTTTAGTACACGCTTCCAGAAAATTACTGTATCTGATTTTCAAAATTTTCCCACAGAAAGCCTTATGCAGCCGCCATATTTAAACTCCGTAATTTGTCTTTTATGCGCATGCTTAGCCGCCATGATGTCTTCGATTTCTAGCCATGTGATAAGTTGAAGGAGAAGTGTGCTCCAGAAATCATGAAATTTTTATCTTTGCCTTTAAAAACATTGGCAAGAAATCGAGAAAGCGAAGAGATCTGATTAATTAATGTGAAAACAAAATGAAAACTACCAAGGTCCAATTTTTAGCACATTATGTTTGAACGCAGTTTTCCAAAATTTCAGTTTTTCTTTGGAATCTCAAAAAGGGGCCAGTATCATAGTAAAGTAAACAAAAAAATAAATAAATAGATAGATAAACTGTAGATTTTTCTATATGGGTTTATGAAGACAAGTTCTCTCATTGGTCAGTAAGTTCTGTCAAAACATAACAAAAACATACTTTCAATTGGTAAGTTTTGATTTGATTAATTGTTTAAGAAAGCTCAGGTTTTTTTTTCTCTTTTTTAGTTCGCTTGATTCTGTGAATTGCATGACAGCAAAAGTGAAAATTTGCATCTGTTAATTAAGAATGTTGAGAAGTAAAAGATTCAAGTGTGGTAGGATCTCTTTCTTTTAAAGATACCCCATACCAAATTGAGAGACTCGGGCCCGGCACCTTTCCTGACTTTTCCCATCCATTTACGTTTTGTATTTGAAAAATATAATACTAAAAATTACTCTGTTAGAATTTTTTATCACTATGTAAACCTTTGCTTCCTTAGAAAAATGCAATTGTCATAAAAATCATGTCGAAACACTTTCTCCTTAACAATAGCAAGTATCTAATTAATATACGTAGTTCTTGAGTAGACCGAATTTATCCTTTCGTCAGTTCTTTACACCCTAACATCAGTATCCATATTCTCCATACTTTTCTTTATACACATCTTTTGGTACTGACAAAGAGAATTTGTTCAACAATCAAAGCTTCTTGTGGTAGCGATCATTTCCTTTGTTCTCATGATCTTAGTGAATGGTTAAGCAGTATTATTGCGAGGAGAAATTAGATGCTGATCACTCTTGGGGTTTGAAAAGTTAACTTTGTTGCATGCATGTCCTAGTTGGTCGTATTTAGGGCGGTTTTCATTACATATAGCTCGTAAAGTCTTGTAATAATCAGACTACCTGAAGTAAATAAGGTAAATTTTCTGTAACTGAAAATGGGAGGATGCTTTAAAACAGACAAAATGGCTACAAGTACATTAACCAGGAATCTCATTTCAAGAACATTTTGGCAAGTCATTTATTTTGGTCTTGGAGGACGATTTTTTAGCATTGTATATTGTTTATCACAAGTTTGTCATACTCAGTAAAATGAGAACATATAAGAAAATACTGACTTTTGCTTGTGGTACTTGATTTTTTGTAATCGTCTTTGATCTTCACACGCCCTCTCTTATCATGAGATAATTTGGTTTCATCAACTGAGTTGATAATGTAATTTTGCCATTGTAAAGAGTTTCCAAGGCTGAAGTTTTGAGTGTTACTCTTTGTCAAACTGAATGGCAAAGGGTGAACCTCAAAACGACAGCCTTAGAAACTCTTTACGGTGGCGAAATTGTATTATCAACTTATTTGGTAAAACGAAATCACCCTGTTATACTGTCCCAACAACGCAGCGCTACAGTTTCTTTGGATATATGCTAAACCATCCAAAAAGTTGTATCTATCCTGTATAAGGGTCTTGGTTAGAGGCGACGAATAAAAACGTAGAGGGGAGACAAGGAGGTTTTTCCCCCAATTTATTTCCTATAGCTCGCCCCACGAAACGGACACCTTTCTCAGGACGATCAGACACTATCCCAAGCTCAGTGTGCTTTAACAGCAAAGACATCAGTTAGCATTATTTAACTTTATTGACCAGCTTAGCGCTGTTCGCAATATTGTACTACACAATTCAAGGTGAGTCAAGAGAAAAAAAAGTAGGATGTTCACACTTATTATCTGATCACCTGCAATGTTATCAAGATTATATTTTCGCGGATAATTCCTTCCTTGAACCAGTGTAACGTTTTCATCTACATTCACCGTTTTAGCGGAACGTATCTCAACAAGAAAATGTAACAGAGAAATTAGGCATCAAAGTTTGAAGTTTTTCAACTAGACCCATTCCTTAAACTCGTATTTGATGACTTAACAAAATGTAAGTTAGTTACAATTAAGAGAAAAAAAAAGACAAAAAAAAAACCAAAATATCTATATACCACTTAAAAGTTTTTCCTCTCCCTTCCAAAGGTATTTGTTCAAAATAAAGCACACCTAAAAATATGTATGTTGAACTAATGAATGCTGACTATTAAACTTACAACAACATAACCTTTCCATTCTCGTGATTCACAATTCTTCTGTGTCGCTCGTCTGATTTTAATCACCTCCCTTGTAAGACAAAGGTCTAAACGTCCATCTTTACCTCTGACGCTGTCTAGCGAAGTTCGCGTAAAAAGCTTCTTTCGGTTTTTGTTCTGACGAAGAGGCACAAAATCCTTTTGAAAACTAAAACCGTCTCAGTTCACACTAGAATTCGTTTTTGCTTAGCAAGAAAACACTTACACACAATAAACTTTACAAACAGGTCTATCCAGTTTAAACAACATTCCTTCAAGAAAGCCAAAGAATAATTGGTCTGAAAACGCTCCATTACAAAATGAAATTCCTAAACAAAGCGATTAACTGTTTCACAGATATTCATAACTTTTCGTTTCATCTTCTTTTATTTCTTCTCCTCTTTCTCCTTATCTAAGTTTTTGCTTCTTCGTTTGCCAAAAATGCCGCTTCCACCTTTGCCCTTGTCAGTTTTCTTGCCAGGTGATGCATCTTTCCCGGCAGCTTCTCCGCTGATATTCTCCTGAATGTGTTTAATCCACAGTTTCATGTCCTCCTGAGACGGGCAAGGTAAGGAGAGAAAATTTATGTCAACGGTTAAAGAGCAGAAAGAGAGCTAAAACAATCAGAATAAAGGGTGACTAGCGTCTAATTTCTACCCATTGTATCACCCCTGAATGAAACATAAATGTCATGTGAATAAAGCTTAAGAACACCATTTTAACTAGCTCTCAATTGCTTAAGTTACTCTCCTTGTCAGAACCATAAGAAATGTAGACGGAACAGTTTGGAGAATACGCGTACTGATGTTTGGGTTGTAAAAGGTTAGGCAAAAATTTTCGAGGCTCGGACGAAAATAGAAGACCATGGAAAATGTCACTCTTTCTGACAAAGTTTGATGGCGATCAAACGAAAAAAAAAAAAAAAAAAAAATATATATATATATATATATATAATAGAGAAAACTACCAAGCAGTTCACAATTTGTGCGTGTGCCAAATATCAGACGACACCGCTTTAGACTTGAGCTAACAAAGTTGCGATTACTTGATAAGTTACTTTACTTTTCACCGATTTTGAAAAGACTAAGAGACATTTCTTTCATTGCTCACCTCATCTTTAGCTTGGAAAAGGAATTCTTGACCAGCACTGGATCTGTAAAATAAAAGGAAGAGGCGAGTCAAACATGGGGTAACAATCAACGTCTAAAATAGCGACACATTTGCGAATGAAACAACGTGTGCTTCCTTTTAAGAGGCACCGCTGTTGAAAACAAAACTTCAAGCGTTTTACTTTTTTCCTCTGAGTGCGACTGATAGAAGATGCAGAAAAAGGTACCTGAATCTGAACACGTTCTTTCTCTTGGTGTAATCAATGGCTTTTTCCACAAAACCTTCCTCTGTAGTCAGAGAATGGGCTGCCTCGTGATCCTGACAAGTAAAGCAAATTCGAAGTGTTATTGCATGAACAGGTCAATATGTATACATTATTTACTAAAGGAAAGGTCAAATTGTCTGCACGTCTCTGTCCATTGAGACGATTGGGACAGAGATGTCAACGAACATAGAAACGCCCAAAAGAAAAAAAAAATTGAGACCAACCACTAGTAATCTATTGAGGATACAAACAGATACAATAAAAGACACGTTTTATTGACGAAAGACTGAATAAAACAGGTTTGTCTTTGCGGGATCAAAGCGAATGTTCCTGAATTGACACTATGGTACTCGATCGAGCAGTCAATGAGAACACAAGATTCGCTTTGGGTTACCTACCCGCTAACACAGACATAAAAGTAAATACATAAACTGATTGCAATATCTAAATTAAAAGATAAGTGAAAAAAGACATATGGTTTCTTAAGTGAGTTATCTTCTGATGTTTACAAGTACCAC